GTGGTGTTTTTTTGTGGTGGTGGTGTTGTGAAGAGGGTCCCAATATGGAGAGTGGCCCGAGTAACGACAATCACCCCGATGCGGCTACATGTCGTCCCCCTTTATTGCCCGAATCGCTTGGTTATATCCTTTGCACAGCAAGCACCCGCTGTTCACGCGCCCCATACCCCTGGATTATTGGTCGTAAGCAACTTATCACACACCCAAAGGGAAACTGTGATAGGCAAGCATCTTGGGGTTTGCTGCATACTTGTGCTTAGCTTAGCCAGATACATAGCTGAGAACATTCCTCATTAACAGATACAGTTCCTCACAACACAGCCCTTCAAGGTCATCCTCATAACACAGGTGTTGTTAGCAGTCTGATCTCAGGCCTGGATTGTCCAAACCCTGCAACAAAATATTGTGGCCATTCTCTGTCAGAAATTCTACTACATATCCCCCTTTTTCTTTTTGGACAATCCAGACTTGATTCATGACCTTTGTCAGCCCTTTTCATATTCATGAAATACAAAGACAGACAGCTAAAAATATAAGCAGACAGTAAATAAGCAAGCGAAGGCCTTCTCTTAATAAGCTAGCTAAACATCCACTGATTACCAGACATTGCTATGGTCGCTGATTTAAATCAAGTGTTAGAAACACATCATATCCTGTTGACCCAAAACCTGTGTCTCCTCGAATGTCGGAAGGACCATTCAGAAGTGATTGATGCAAGGGATGTTTTGACTCTAAAGCAACAATTTGAGCAATTTTACTACCTTTTGGAACGGTTACCAGTGGTTGTAATGCATATGCCATAATTTGGATTTGACCTGTTTAATCTGCATCAATGACACCAGGGAGCACAACAACGCCCTGCTTTCCCGTGGACGATCAACCAATTAATAACCCACCCACTGGGGAATTTCTAGAAAACAAAGGTCCATATGCTGTGGTTGGTATAAGTGTCACAGAAGTACTGGTTAATGTGGTCTCTACTGCTGTTGCCACATCCACTCCGAGGCTTCCTGGGGTCACTGGTGTGTGGTCGAGTAGGAAACCTGGGGGGTTGAGACCTGGACTTGTGTCGTCGTGCGAGGTCCCTTCGTGCTGCGCCTGTCATTTCCTGACTTTCTGCAGGCCACAGTTGCATGAGTGTCTGTATTGCAGGTATGGCACCAAACAGGCTTGGTGCATCTGTGTTTCCAATGACCTGTCTCACCACAACGATAGCATGCACCCGTGATCTGACTGCTTTTAGCCAGCTGCCTCTTTGGCTGTCCTCCACTACTTCTCAACGCAGCAGCCGTTGCCGTTAATGCTCGATGAAAAGTTTCCTTCATGGCTGCCGAGAAAGCTGCAACTTGGTTCGATTGCTCAGCCCCAGATGTTAACAGCAACATGTCATCTACCCCCGATCCTTGCGGGAGGGTGGCTATTAGGTGCTTGGTGGTTGCATTACCATTGTCAAAAGCTAGTGCGCGGAACAACTGTGTCTGCATGCCCTCAGTGAGTTCCGAAGCATCTTTCAATGCCGCATGGAGTCAGTCGACGAATTGGCTAAATGGTTCAGTGGCCCCCTGTCGCACTGTCATATACGATGGTGCTTTCTTCTTATCTGGTACCACTAACAATGAACGATGAGCCAATGATTGTGACTGCTGGTGGACCGGAGTCGGCAGAGCTAATTGGGCAGCTGTTGTCAAATATTGTCCGTCCCCAATTAGCATCTGAGCTGTCACTCCATATAGTGCATCTCCCTGTTGTCGGGGAACACTGGTTTCTGCTACTGCTAGTCTCTTCCAGTCTCTTTCCCACAGCAAAAATTGTGATGGTGATAGAAGCAGTGATGCTATCTGCTTACTATTATTTGGACATAAAACAGCTGTAAAAATGAACTGTATAATGTTTCTCGCTGCCTCAGATCGTAGCCCATAAGTGGTCACAGTTTGTTTCACCTGGTTCAAGACCTTCCAATCATGAGGTTCCCAATTAGGACGCCCATTCGTTGTCACTACCGGGCAGGCCAACGCTCCAGCAGCATGCCAGTCCCCTTTTAACAAGGCATCACGAATCATCCCACTCCACTGGGACCGAGCTAAAATTGGAGCTGGTTCTGGTAAGGGTGACGGGAGTGGGTGTGGTGGGGCTGACAGCAGCTCTTCCTTTTCTTGTAATTGTAAATGCAGAGTTCTGTTCTGTAGCTTAACTTCTGTAATTTTCTTTCAAGCTCTTGGACGTTGTCACTGTCCTTTTCCGATGTTTGACTCTCTTGCTTTAATTCAGACATAGCCGCCGTCTCACTCTCTGAGCCAGCCGCTGTACCGCGTTCCGCGGGCACTCCCCCCTGTCCCCCCGCGCCGCCTCATTTCTCTGCTGCTTCTTGCGCAGTGGAGCAAACAGGAATACTTGGTGACATGCCCTTAATAGAGTGGAGCTGCTGATTAACCCCGAAGAAGGTGGCTAATCGTGACGGACGGTTGGTTTCGGCAGGGACCGGTGGAGATGGTATAGCGCTGATAGCCTCAATAGCAGCAGCAGCTACTTTCTTTTCTGCTTGCATCTCCCCCAGAGCTTTTATGATCGTTCGCCAGACCACCCCTTGCTGTCGTGCTTCACTGCCTTTATTGCCTCCAGTGATAGTCTCATCCCACAATAAATCACCTACTGCTCGCTACTCCTGTTGGCTAAATATTAGCGAGGGGTCACTTATTCTGACCCGTTTTCTAGCCCACTTAATCAGATTGTGGACATCTCCTTCTTTTTCACCTCTCTTAGAGAGCATACTAAGAAGCAGTCTTACTGCCGCGTCTGTTTCCATTGCGGTCTTACCTCCTGGCAAGGGTCAGTCGGCCAGCTGACTCGGTTGCTCGCATCTCCTTTTCGCAGCAACTCACTTGCTCACCACTCTCCGGCTCCCAAATCAAAAGTTCATTCGATGATGTGGAGTCTTCGATCCATATTTAAACGTCCGACTTCAGAGGCTATACAGCGTCCTAGTCAATCTGAGGGTCCCTGTTCAGGGCGCCAAATGAAGAGGGTCCCAATAATAATAATACGGAGAGTGGCCCGAGTAACAAAAATCACCCCGATGCGGTTACATGTCGTCCCCCTTTATTGCCCGAATCGCTGGGTTATATCCTTTGCACAGCAAGCACCCGCTGTTCACGCGCCCCATACCCCTGGATTATTGGTTGTAAGCAATTTATCACACACCCAAAGGGAAACTGTGATAGGCAAGCATCTTGGGGTTTGCTGCATACTTGTGATTAGCTTGGCCAGATACATAGCTGAGAACATTCCTCATTAACAGATACAGTTCCTCACAACACAGCCCTTCAAGGTCATTCTCATAACACAGGTGTTGTTAGCAGTCTGATCTCAGGCCTGGATTGTCCAAACCCTGCAACAAAATATCGTGGCCATTCTCTGTCAGAAATTCTACTACAGTGTTGCTTTTTTATGTCAAGGGATCAGCTTCATTGAAAATGGAATCCATGACATCAGGTGTCTACTAGGCTTTCTCCTCAGACTGTGAAGTCCCTACTCTGTTTGGCTGGTAGTTCATTATTCCAGATGAGTAAGTATGGAGTAGGGAAAAAAGCTTGGAGTATAAATATATGCTGGGAAATACCTTCATAGTTTTTTTTCCCTGACTCTGGGAGGTGTTCAAGAATACTACAGAAGACCTTTTATTCTGACCATCATAAATAAAGCGTTTGTTCATGTTTTCTGCTTCATGCTTGTAATTTTCACTGTAATTCAAGGTAACAGAAGAGAATTTAATGTAGTGGTAGTACTGATCAAGGCTGATTTGTATTTACTTATGATGCTTCACAGAGCTGTAAATTTTGGTTGAAGAAAGACGTAGAAATGAAGAATTAACACTTCAGTACTAGGTTGTGGTTTCATGTAACAATTCCTAGGGCAAGAAATCAGGTTAACAAGGTGCTTACCTCCTCACCCCCATTTATGGGCTGTTATTAGTTCCTCACCCTACCTCCTCCCTCACAAATAACTTGATTGTTTGTCCAGTCTGTGAGTGTCAGTAGAAACAATTGTTTCTGTAAGAAGATACAGGAATGCAGAGCTGATGGTAGTGTGGGATATTTCTTAAAAAACAGTTTCTCTGACAAAGAAGCTATAATTTTAAAGCATAACTTACATTCAAAAAAAAAAAAAGTATTGTGTTTGTCATGTTATTTCTTGCATGCATCTAAGCACCTGTTGAAGAGGCAGGGCACATGCCTCATCAGTCAGGAATATGGAGCAAGATCTGCTTTCAAAGTACCCATGTTTTCTGGACCAAGAGAAGGTCCCTGGGGTTTCTTTTTTCTAGGGAACTTGTATTCACAGGGAGAAGAGTGACTCAGCATCCAGAAACGTTCCAGCTTTTGTGAAAAATTGGCCTATTTTTCAACAGCACTACCTGTGAACATAGTGGGGTAACATGACTACTTTTCAACTTCATAAATTGCATAAGAAGTGTAGAACATGGTATCTGGTTTAGGGAAAAAACAAAACAAAACAAAACAAAACAAAAACAACAAAACACCAAAGGCTGGGTTTTGGAAGCTACTCGGATTTAGCTGTGTTAGAACCAATAATGCATTAACATGGCTTCATTGTTGGTCATTAGTTATTCTTTAGTCAGGGAACTTGTTACGGAGTTAGAGCTGCAAGGCTCCATAGCAAAGCTTTGATATGCTGAATATGACCTGGCAACACCTAGCACAGGACTTACTTTCTTTTGTTTGATCATTTTAGTGCAACAGTGTAGTGAACAGCATAGAAAAGATGCTTTTGAACTCCAATTCTAGACAGATAAAATCCCTACTGAAGGCTTTCTTTAGAAACAGGTAAGGCTTTTTTTTTTTTTTAAAAAAAAAAAAAGTTCTTATTAGTCTCAGACTCACTGGAAGAGTTCACTTTGTCTTTATGTCCTGATCATCCACCCTGGGCTGCAAGAGCCCTGGGTAGTACTGCAGCTGGAAATCATAGAATGAGTGTGAACTTACCCAAGCCGCAGATGTATCCGTGGCCCTGGACATAGCACTGGGTGCTGTAGATAGACCATGCTTCATGGTCCTCCTGCGTGCTGCTCACGGCTCTGTGGGTTGAAACACTGAGTTGTTTTTAAGGGCTGGAGTGGGGATCACCATGCTGGTGGTGTTCCTTGCCTGGCGTGCTTGGGCCTCGGCAGCTTGTCTGTAACGTGTATTTGTGGCATTGCTCATGAGCGATGTAACTGTTCAGGGCCAGATCTGAGCCCTCGGCAGCACTGCCACACTGCTGGCAGCACTTAAAGAGTTTAAAACCTGACTTTTTGCTGCTGCATTGGGATCTGTGATGCAGCCAGAGTGCGGGGTCACTGCGCTGGAGTGACTTAATGTGAGGCGGAGAGGGGAAGTCAATCAGAAAACCGCGGAGGAAGTTCACTAGGTTGGACTTGTGTTAAGCTCTGACAGGGCTGCCCAAAACCTTGGACAGCGAGGAGCTGCTTTTCTGGGCCCTCTCCCCTCGCCGTGGCCGTGCGCCTCGCAGAAGCGTGTTCCTTGGCGGCGCCGGTGGGGCAGGGCGGGACAAGATGGCGGCGCCGCGGGGCGGAGCGGGGCGGGACAAGATGGCGGCGCCCAGGCGGTAGCTCGCGTGTTGCGGGCGGAGGGAAGCGGCAGCAGGCCCGGCTCGTCGCCGCCATGTCGGGCCGCCAAGGAAACAAACTGCCCAGCAACCTGCCCCAGCTGCAGAACCTTATCAAGCGGGACCCGACCTCCTACACTGAAGAGGTACGGAGCGGGATGGCCGGGAGGGGTTGGAGGGCGGGCAGGCGTCGCCGGTCCCGCTCGGCAGCCGCCCTGTGTCTGCTCAGTTTCTCCAGCAGTACCACCACTACCAGTCCCATGTGGAGATTTTCACCTTCCAACCGGACAAGCCCAGTAAGGAGCTGGCTGAACTGGTGATGTTCCTGGCACAGGTAAGGCGCTGAGCGCGGCGCGCAGCCCTTCCCCCTCTTCGTGCTGTCGTCGCCGCTGCTGGAAAGCCGCGCGTTGAGCGGCGTTTCTGCGCCGCTTTGGTCTGTTCCCAGCAACACAAGTTTCCCCTCGGAGCGTCGGTATGGTTTTTAAATTGCGCTTGGGCGCCTGCTGAGTTGTTACTGTACGAACGGTGCTAATTTCCCTGGTCCCTGAGAGCGTCCCGGGGCTGGGAGGGGAGGCAGGGTTTGCCCCGGAGGGCTGAGGTGGGTCTGTCTGTGCCCAGGTCGCCCACTGCTACCCGGAGCACATGGCCAGCTTCCCCCAGCACCTGAAGGAGCTGCTCTCCCACCACCACACCGTCCTGGATGCAGACCTGCGCATGGTAAGACCCCCACTGAAAGGCCGTTCGGGCCTGCCGTTAAAATATGCCCTTTGTGTGCAAGCTGAGAGCTTATCGGCTTCTTAATTTTTGAAGAAAGACAGAAACTGGAGAGTATTACAGAATTTTGGTTCTGATTCCCTCTTTCTCCCTTGCAGACGTTCTGTAAGGCTTTGATCTTGCTAAGAAACAAGAATCTAATAAATCCGACGAGTTTGCTGGAGCTCTTCTTCCAACTGCTGCGGTGTCACGATAAGCTCCTACGAAAAGTAAGCTGTGCTTTCAAAAACAGGTCTTGATTTCTAGTGGGTTTTGACCAACCTTCCAGAAGTAACGCAGCTGTGTCAGGTAGCTGCTCTGCTTCCCTCTGTAACAAGGTCCAGTTGAAAGTAGCTCTCCTTTTTGAAATGTTGACGGTGCCCGAGGCAGGACTTGCTCTGTGTGTTTGATTAGTAATGAGGCATGCTGCTGTAAGCATCTTTACTGTGCTGTTGCAGGCTGTAGGCCTGTCCTGTATGTGGAATTCAGCAGCTTGGATGTGGCTCCAGGTGGAAGCCATAAACATGTTGTTGGCGGAGCAGGCCTTAGTTATTTCTTTGTGAGAACTTCTGAGTAAAACAGCTAAACCCAAACCACCTGCTGGTTAAAGCTCTGTTTCGGGTTTTCTGTCACAACACTGAAAGTCCTTGCTTTCTGTTACAAGGATTACTAAGCAGGCCATCAGAATGTGCCTGAATTACAGAACTTTTTCAAGCAATATTTCATGCTGTTTATTTTCCTGCCTTGTTTTACTATAAATTAAGTATACTTTTCAAATACATGAAAATAAAGCATACGTGGGCGACTTTACAGGATAACTTCTTGTTGTTTTTCCAACTGTAATTTAAAAGAGAAAATAATATTCTCAGTGCTGATCAGTTTGGTCTCTCATGTCAGTACTTAGACACTTCAATGTATCCGCGTTGTTCTCTGCAACTTGCTTAGCTTACTCACTGTTAATCTCTCCATTTACAGACTCTGTATACTCACATCGTGTCAGACATCAAGAATGTCAATGCTAAACACAAAAACAATAAAGTAAACACAGTAAGTATTTTAGCTTTCAGACATACTTCACTTTAAGCTCTTGATATTATGGAAGACTTCTAATAAGACAGGTTTCCAAATTTTTTTTCTTAGGCACTGCAGAACTTCATGTACACTATGTTGAGAGACAGCAATCCCACTGCTGCCAAGATATCACTGGATGTGATGATTGAACTTTACAGGAGGAATATTTGGTAGGTCTGGCAGGCTTGTGTCGATTCCCCATTAATCGTGGGGCAGCTGTCCTGACATCTACCTGTGGCCTGTAGTGCCAAATACAATTGAGGGGGCAGTGACTTAAATATGTTTATCTTGTGTTCCAGTGGGGCTGTATTTCGTGGAGTGGAATTTAGCTGGGAAGAAACATTGTCTTGCGTGAAGTCTCAGAGTTATTTAGGTTGAATACTTGATGTTTTAGTTGAAAGTGGTATGTAAGCAGTGTGTATTGCATTTGAAACTACAGCTGTGTGTAGCTCACTTTTTGAGCTTTTGCACATAAAAGCTGCTAATATTAGCATACAGTTTGTGATGTACAGTGGAGAGAGGAATTTTGTTTTTTTCTTGTTAAGTCTGTAAATTCGTTCTAGATGACTGATGGGTGCTTTGAGTTTTGGGGGTTTTCTTATGAAGCTGTAATACAGCTCCTGTGATTAGGAGATAGCAGCTTAAATACAGCTCCTATGATTAGGAGATAGCAGCTTGAAAAAATGTTGCCTACATAAGCATTGAAAGGAGTAAAAAAGCACACTGAGTGCTGCCAGTTGCTGTCTTGTACCTAATATGCTGCTGAATCTTTATGCTGTGTTACAAAATGCCCAGGCAGATGTTACCCAGTGGCAAATGTCAGGAGAAAATGGTAGCCTCTTCACTACCCCTGGCTTTTTGATTGTAAAACCAGGTGAAGGACTTTTCATCTCTTCAGTTTGGTACTCCTTTGCTCTTCCCTGTTCTTGAACAGGAACAAGCTATACAAATGCTGCAAGTGATGCTGCTGCTGTTTCTTAGGTATCTCCAAAATAGATGAGTGGCAGAGCACTAATTGGGGAGTTCTTGTATTTCTTACTCAGGAGAAGTTCTCAGCGATACCTGCATGAGTTAAGCTGGGGTGTGAATTGCTTTTTCAGTGTGTGGCAGAGTAACCACAGCTGGCAGGGCAGGTGCTGGCGTATGTTTGGGCCTAAGATTTTTTGTGTGTAGCATTCCAGGAAATATTGTCTATTCCACAGCACAAATAAAAATATTCACAGCAGGTTCAAGATCTTCTTTTTTGGGTAGTACTGGATTGAGAACTATTTTCCCTAAAAAACAGTGACTGCTGAAAAAAATTAGTGTTGCTGAAAATACTTTTGCGTTTTTTAAAAAGTAGGTTTGTAGGTACGTAAGACTTGGTATATATAAAATGAAATTAATTTCTTCAGCTTTATTTCTTATAAACCCTTATTTTTAGAGCAAACTTTATCTCAAAATTATCCAGCTGCTTTTCTAATACTCGATAGAATTCTGCATGTATTTCTTTTTACCACACAGGGGTGGCCTTTTGTGGTTTTTTGTTTTTTTTTTGTTTTTTTTTTTTTTTTAACCAGTGAAAAAAATGGTAAGCTGTATTCCATTACTGGAGCTTATTTTTAGTATCCCTTCACTCACAGTGTGAACTAGATGGAATGCAAGTGTGTCTGTTTAGATGAAGCTAATGGTGTTAGAAGAATAAAAGAAAATGACAGAAGCCTAACTTCTTTGTTTGCAAATCTACTTGAAGCATTGGGAGACCTGATTCTAATGAGGCTTCCTACTTGTCAGGCTTCCTACTTTCATGAAACTTAGCTTTCTGAGAATAACTTGAAATTGCCAAACTTTAAATGGTGATCTTTTGTTTTATTCCAGGAATGATGCCAAAACAGTGAATGTCATCACAACTGCATGCTTTTCAAAAGTGACAAAGGTGAGAACAGAAATCGCTTGATGAAACTGGATGTTACCTAAGCTACCTTTTTCTTGTGAATGCAGGTTTTTATTTTGTAATTGCTAACAAGCTTCACTGATGATTTGTCTTGTTTTATTTTCAAAATACCACTTGTGTTGTGGGAGGAGGTGGTATTTGCTTCTTATGTACAGAGCACCAGAATTGGAAGCTTGTAACAAGTGCAGGCTGGTGTGGGGAGGGTAGGTGTGCTTTCGACTGCTACTCAGAAGAAACTGTCAGAATATCACTTTCTTATAATCAGCCCTGTAAGGCTTTCAGTTGTTAGATGTGAGTAGAGTGGCTGTCCTGCCTGGGGCTTGAGTGAATCTTAGGCCTTCTGTCCTCAGTGTCAGTTCTGCAGTGCTGGAGGTTGGAAAACTTGTATTATGGTTTGAAATTGGACCTTCATAATGTAAGAACTTACATCTGTTTCATTCCTTAAAAAACTACCAACCAAAAGCAACAAAAAACCTTCACCAGCAAACCCCTATAAACTAACAAAAGTTTGGAGTTCTGAGCACTGTCTTGGGTATCAGCTGTGCAGGAACTCCTGATAATGCTTGCATGGAGTAATTAGATTGAAATGGCTTTGCAGAATGACAGGAAGAGAATCTGCATCTTTAAGCTTGCTCCAGGTGTTGTTGGAGCCCGGGTGCTTTTTGACATTTTGTGTGCCTCAAAGTTGAGGATGGGCAGCAAAAATTGATTGTGTCTGTAAAACACCTATGTCTTTCAGTCTGTGATTAGTTTTGCGTTCTGGTCATACCCATGCCTATAAAGAATTGGGAGAGTCTTTGCATAACCCAAGATGTGGGTGTAAGGCTGTTGGAAATAAATACTCTTGTCAGTTCATCCTGTCCTACATAAACTTTGCTTTTCAGGTATTAGTTGCTAGTTTGAAGTTCTTTCTTGGGAAAGATGAAGATGAGAAACAAGACAGTGACTCCGAATCTGAGGTGCGTGTTGTGATTAAATCTTCTCTTCTCTGTTCTTCAAACTCTAATAGGTTTGTGAGAATGGTGACCCTGGCTCCACCAGTCTGTCCGTTTCTGTGTTAGTTTTCCATCTTCTTTCCTCCAGATGTTTGTATGCTTCACAGAGTTCAGTGATTTTGACAGCTGGCTCCAACTGAGATAGCAGGATGCCTTTGCTGTCTGTCTAAGGACTAATGCCAAGAGCTGCTTTGCTTTCCTGTTTTCCTTGTGAAGGAAGAAATTCACTCTGAACACCTAAGCAGGGGGCTGGTCAGTCTGGTTTGTCAAGACCTGAGTTGCTAGATGTGTAATGTGGAGTTGTGGGAAAAGGCTTTCACCTGGTGTGTTGGAAGCAGGTTTAATTTTTTTATCTGTCTGTTTTGTCTTCAGTTTCTCCTTTTGTGTTCCATTTCCTATTTATATACAAGTGAATGTAATTGAGTTACCTTGAGAAGGCTGATAACCTAACAGGATTTCAGTCTAGAACCTCTTAATACAGTGTATCATTATTTGTCTGTCACTGAACAATACTCTCTAATGAACCAGCTGTAAAAACTACTGTGGTGATGTGCTGTTAAGTGTCAGTGGACTCTTTTTGCATGTAGATATGTGCCTAGTTCTATGGAATCGGGATTTTAAGTGCCAGTATTTGTTTGATGAAGTTTAGGAAGAGGGAGAGTTTTCAAATAAAGTACATGATCGTGAAAAATACCAATACGTTTTGTTTCTCTGATTCCCGTTTGAAGTCTGATGTCACCTGACTCTTGTCTCCCTTACATTCTTTCTCAAGGATGATGTTCCCACAGCCAGAGATCTGATGATGCGGTATGCAACCAACAAGAAAACCACCAAGCGCAAGAAGAAACTGGAAAAAGCGATGAAGGTCCTCAAGGTGAGGAGAGTGGTGTCCGACTCACCGGGGTTTTAGCTTAACCCTTCAAGTGCAGAAATCTTGTTGTTGCCTCTGTTGGCTTAGCTGCCTTTTGTCATCTCTTCCATGTGAAGGTCCTCAAGTGTTGTAGCATCCGTTGGCCAGGCGTATGCCATGTTTGCCTGGAAGAGAGCTCTTCTGAAACAGACTTAAGAGTCCAAGTTGCAGATTAGTTCTGCTCTGGGTACCCTTTGTGTGGTCCCCTACTTTAAAGCATGTGGTGTCTTCATAAGTAACTTTTTAAGGCAGCTCCTGTTGCCTCTTAGATCAGGTGTCAAAAAAACCTATGCAGTTGAAGAGAATGATAGTTTACTTGTTAAAATAAAATCTTTTTTGAAGAGAAGAATGGTGAACAGCAGCTTTTAACAGCAGCCTGAAACTGAAGCTTGTGCAACTTTTTCTTGGAAAGAAAAAAATGTCTTCCTTACTCTTTTTTGCCATACAGAAACAGAAGAAGAAGAGCAAGCCAGAGGTCTTCAACTTCTCTGCTATTCACCTGATTCATGATCCCCAAGGTAAGCATGCATTGCATTTTGTCTTTTTTCAAGTTATGTGTTAATCCCAGACACTGCAGCTTAGACACAACTTGGCAAGGAGAATGGAAGTGAAAGAGGGATACTTGTAGTGTGCTTTATCCTAGAGTTTCACAGCACTTCAAAAGAGTGAGTCCTGTTGTGCTTGTAGTGAGACAGCTGTAGGTAGTCAGACAGGGAAGGAGCAATATTATATCATCCGCTTGAGGTTGCTATAGATCAGGGTGTGGCTCTCTAGCTCCTTCTTGTATGCCTGAAGCCATGATTTGGTGAACAGGGAGTAGTTTATCAACTATAACTTCTTTGGCTTAAACCCCTCAAAAATGTGTTTCTATCACTAGTCTGATGTGTGATATCATTTGACTTGGTCGTAGTGTGATCTAGTAAACCTCTGGGGATTTCGTTTTTTAGATGAACCCAAAATGTATCTAAAAAAATCTAGTTTTAAATACTGATCCTGTGCTTATTATGTTGTGGAACTTCTGGTAATTTTCCTTTCTGCTGAACCTGTGCACAGCTTTAGACCTTCTAGGCCTGTGAGAAGAAAAATAACCCACTGGGAGAAGTGTTCAGGTCACCTTTAATTTACTCTGTGTGAGGGCACTGGGGCGTAAAAAAAACCCAAACCAAACTGCCTGCCTTCCTTAACCTAATACCAGCTGAGTTCTGCATTCTGCTCTTTCTCTCTACCACATATCTATTATTGCTTCTTCTAGACTTTGCAGAGAAACTGCTGAAACAGCTGGAGAACTGCAAGGAACGATTTGAAGTGAAGATGATGCTCATGGACCTAATATCTAGGCTGGTTGGAATACATGAGGTAAGTGCTCTGGCAGTTTTATAACGGTCTGACGGTAGCCAGCCTGGTTTGGGTGGTGCTATGCTCTGGTCTTGTGTCTCTGTAAAATGAGGTTTAATTTTTCTACGTGTGGAAAAGTGCATATGTATGGTGAAGTAGTTGCTGGTGAGTCTCGTGAAATGTTGTGTACACTTGTGTGGTACTAAGCGTGCTCTGCTAGAGAAAGCTGTTGATCTGGAATAGCTGAGCTGTCTCTGAAAAACAGAGGAGAAGGTATATTTTTCAAGAGCTGCATGCCCTTGGGAGGCTCTTCAAATGAGAAAGGCGTTTCAAAAGAGTTCAGCGATTCCCCCAATTGGTGCACTTGGGGGGGTACAGCCAAAGTGTGATCAAAATTGCTGGAGTCTCTTCCTGTTGTGGGGGAGAAGGTTGTGTCCCTGATGCAAAGGGAGGTGGCACACTGTAGGATCATGCAGCAGAATGCCCTAATTTGAATTCTGTGCAGTCTAACAAGAACCGCTCTGGATTTCACAGAGCTTGGCATTGAGACTTGTATTTCCTTCGTACAAGTCGTTTCCTTATCTCCACATACGTCAAACTCAAGACAGGAGAGTGCATCACGCAATAAAATCCAAAGCATTTGGGAGAGCTCTATGTATCGAATCATTCATTGATTGTTTTACAGCATGTCACCCTATGAAGGTGATCTCAAGTTAAAAGACGAGAAGCTCATCTGTTATGATTTATTTCCTGCAGCTTTTTCTTTTTAATTTCTACCCCTTCGTTCAGAGATTTCTGCAGCCCCATCAGAGAGGTAAGTAGCTACAGCACCGCTGGTCCATCATGTCACATGTCCAGTCCGTTCTCAGAAGTGCTGCTGTAAATGAAGGGGAGGCAGTAACCTGGTGGGAGTAGTTCGCGGAGTGTGGCTGAAGGAAGTAGAAGGTGCTGACTGCCAGAAATGCAAAGCACTTTGGATGTTTATGGAAGCTTTGTGAGCTCAGAGCTCCTTACCTGAGCATTTGAGAACCTCCAGCAGTGGAATAGAATTCATGAGTCCCTAGTTCCTTGCAAATCCTGACTAGCTGAGCACAGTGTGACTGCCTTTTGCTGCTTTGTTTTACTGATGCTTCACTCTAGTTCTAGAGTATTTATTTTCATCTTAGCTGGTTGTTAAGGGCCTGCGCTGATGCTGGGGTGGAGAGCAGATGAGTTCTTAATGCCTGGGGGGAGAGGAGAAATAGTTGTCCCAAATAACTGCAGACTGAAATGGCTTTGAGATTTAGACTGAGCAGCTTGTTGAGTTAGCTGTTTTGGTGGGTGCGTTTATTGGCCAGAGTAAGTGGCAGCAATATACTTTGGCAACTTCTTCCCACTTTTCTTATCTTTCAGAAGTGACAAAGATTCTTCTGTTTGCTGCACAGGCTTCACATCAGCTAGTACCACCAGAGGTCAGTACTCTGCCTGTGTTTAGTGATGTTAAAAATGGACAGCAGGCCAGCATGAAAATGTAACCGAGTGCATTTGTGGGGAGGGGGAAAGGGGAATCTGTTCAGACCCTTTGTCTTTAAAAGCATATGGTAATTTTGGCTACTTCTACAAGTTTCAATGGCTTGTTTTGTATAAAGAGGAAAAAAAACTAACCCATGTCTGATGTTTTAATTTCTGCAAGAGAATTTGTGTGTAGGAAATATTTGCAGGCTGTAGTGACAGGTCCCGAGTTCTGTCTTTCTGTGACAAGGGCTCTCTTAGTAATGTGTAATAATTTTCACAGTTTTATTACATATACATTAAGTTTATTTAATGTTTTTGCTTATTTTCAGATTATCCAGTCAGTGCTAATGACCATTGCCAACAACTTTGTCACTGACAAGAATTCTGGGGAGGTCATGACTGTAGGGTAGGTACAGAATCTTACAAAAACTAAAACTCTCTCCAACTATGAAAAATATTTGCCTTTTTTTAAACCACCTGCAACTTATTCCTGTCATTCTTACTATGCCTTTGAAGTATATAGGATACTGTTATTTCTACTTTGAGGGCAGATCTCTTGTCTGTCAGTTAATACTCAGTGAGTGGCTAGGATCATAGTTCAGGACCCTTAAGTTTTTGTGGATAGAATTTAACTACTGACAACAAATTTAAATGTTGCTGTTAGTGAAACTGAAATCGATTTTCTTTGACTAGAGAGGCATTTGTGAAAGTTCTGGTAAAAGTGGAGAATGAGCAGTAAATGTAGGAGAGGAAGGGTTTTTTTTTGTCTGGTGTTTTTTTTTTGTGTGTGTGTTTTTTTGTTGTTTTTTTGTTTGTTTGGGGTGTTTTTGGTTTTTTTGTTTGTTTGTTTGTTTGTTTTTTCCCCTTCACTTGGCGATTTTTTTGTTTGACTGCTTTTCCTGTCTGCCTGGACACAGACTTCAGTTGCAGAATCCTGAGGTCTGGGATTAGACAGAATGCTAGCTGGAGAGTAGAGTATGGGCTAAAGACGGAGGGTTTTGCAGAACCATGGCACAGAGAGCTCCCTGTGGTGTTCTCAGTTACATTAAATGTTATATAAATGCTGTAAAAGATTCTTCAAGTTCCAGATAATTCAGTCTATTACTGGGCCAGTGGGAGTCGCTCCCAACTGTGGTGTTCAGGAAGGAGTTTACTTCCAATTTTTCAGGATCAATGCAATAAAAGAAATCACTGCAAGATGTCCGTTAGCCATGACTGAAGATCTGCTCCAAGACCTCGTTCAGTACAAGACTCATAAAAATAAAAGTAAGTATATTACACGGATATGACTTTTAAATCCTTTTTTTTCCTCCTGTATCATCTGGTCATCTGTTATTACAGCCTTCATAATAGTGATGTCTTAACTGGTTTCTCTGTGGGCTGAGAAGTACCGTTTTCATGTCTGTTGCATTTCTCTGAATTTTGAGTTTATATGCAGAGGAGGCAAAGTAGCCCAGGGTAGTTATGGCAGGGGAAGTTATTGACAAAACTGAAGAAGGGAAACTGCTTGCTAATAAAGATTTAGCCCTAAGGAAGAGCTGGATCCTGGGTGGGGGAAATCGGAGGGAGCTGTAACTTCAGAAAAGGCATGAGCAGGCTGTAAATTCTAATTATCCGAGTAGGCTTTCAGTTTGCTCAGAATTCTGCTTTTCTGTACTTATTCCTGTCTCTTTCTTTTTCTGGATAGATGTGATGATGTCTGCAAGAACTCTGATACACCTTTTCCGTTCTCTGAATCCAGAGATGCTGCAGAAGAAATTCAGGGTAAGTGTTGTTTTATGTGCATTGCATTCACTATAAAAATAGGCCCATGTGATCAAAAAGGATGCTGAGAACTGTTCCTATAGCCACTTGAGAATGAGGTAGAATTAGGCCTGCCTATTCCCTTGCTGCCTTTTGACGTGGTGTGCTCTTATTTCAAGATTTCCTTAGTTCAGCGTTACCAAACTCATTTGACAGAAGGATCGCGCTACAGAAGCTTGACTATCATCCTAGAGCTTATTCAACTTTTTAGTAATTCAAGATATCTTCTTAATTCATCAGACAGAACTTGTTTTCCACCTGCACCTTCCTCTCGCCCAGACTTTTTCATGGATCTGTGGGCATTAAAATAGCAGGCTGCTTAACATATATTTTCTTAATTTACAGGGTAAGCCTACTGAGGCCTCATTGGAAGCCAGGATTCACGAATATGGAGAACTGGATGCCAAAGATTATATTCCAGGAGCAGAAGTACTGGATATTGAGAGTCAAAATGAAAAGGGAGGAACCCAAGAGGAAGGTTGGCCTTTTTTTCTCTACCACTTTGATTTTGAGCATCGTTGTCGCTAAGGTTTTATTTGGACCTAAAACTTGGTGTTTGTGCATTTCTTTTGCTGCTGTCAGATGCTGCATGGCTTGCACATACCCTCCATTAAGAAGCACTAGTACTATCCTTGAGTAAGTGCAGTTGATCCAGTGGAGTTTGTTACGGTGTGTTGCTTGGTATGACAGGCACCAAGGGATGGAAAAGCAGAGGGACAGACATTGTACAGTTATGGAACCTCATGTCCTCACTCTTCCTAAAGAACATTTTTTTGTTGTGTATTATAAAACACTGAAATAGTACTTTGAAATAGCATTGGGGTGCTTTAATCCACTTCCTGTGTAAATGTTCCACACAACCTGCAACCTCTGCCTGAATCAGGAAAAAGATGGGGAGGGATTTGAAAATCAAACCAGAAGAGTTGGGCAGAGCAAACCTGAAGGCATATTGCAGTGGAGGTGTACTGGAAGAATAAACACCCTGGTATGTCACGTGTCTTACAGGTGTGAATGTAGCAATTATTATAACCACCTTTGCTTTAGTTTCTGAAGCTGTTAAATGTCGCACAACGGTGAGTTTGAACAACAGTGAATAGCAGCAGTGCATATACTGTAGAAAGTAACTTAGCTGTAAATTGTGTTGCTTTCTTCCTTGGTTTAGATGTCAGGGAGTGGGGAACACCATTACTGAACAGGGGAATAAGGATTAGCATCTGTAAACTGCTGTGTTTTCTTCAGAGACTGTCCCAAACTGTTTTGAGGATCTTGCACTTCAGATAAAAGTTAAGCTTTCCAAAGCATAACGTTATGGCATAGCTTGCTGTCACGCTGGCTCGTTGCAAGCTGTTTTGGGTGTGCTCTGTGGTTGGCTTGGTTTTGACTGAATGAGGGGTACATAAATGCAATTCCTACAACAGCTTTGATCACCATTGTTTCAGGTTTGCTGGAAGTTCATAATAAATAAATGTATTAAGGTGACTACAGCTCCCAGTAGTGGCAAAATACACCAGCTAAGCGGTCTGTTGTAGGGGTGGCTTGTGTGTGTTTTCAAAGATCTTACACTGCCATATGCAGTTACCACTATAAAAATTGGTGTCATAAGTGAATGTGCATGTGATGTGGGTGTGCTAAGAAATGAAAGCTGAGGTTTTTTGCAGAGCTCTGAATCATTTGCAGGACAGATGGAATTTGGTAGCTGAGCTTGCCAGTGGGAAAGCAAGGGAGCTGCTGGTCTGTTCAACTGTGGATGTCTTCTAAAAATCATTAACAAATAGTGATAAGATGTATGAAGTGTCTTAATGCCTTTGTAGTTCTAATACTGCGATGTTGAGACCCTTCAACTTGCCCGTTTGAGAAGCATGTCCCTGGGCATAAATGCAGTTAGATAATGAAAGCCAGTGAGAGCTTGCAATCCAATCTTGAATTATTTCAAACTCAAGCAGTGAAGCTGAATCTGTATTAACAGCTCTGTGCACTTCTTCTCCTGAGCAGATGGATGGGAAAGTGCTAGTCTGAGTGAGGAAGATGATAATGAAGATGGAGAATGGATTGATGTGCATCACTCCTCAGATGAGGAGCAGCAAGAAATAGTGAGTTTGAAGTGTCTTTCTTCTACCCCAAATACAAATGAGTCTGGTTAATAGCAGACCAGATTCTCTTGCTCTGTACCTTGATGTGGCTGCTTATGAATAACTCTACAGGGCTGCAGGGTAACTTGACCAGAATCGATGCAGTTGAAGTACTATTTAGCACCTGTCCTGAAATATGCATGTTGCTAGGGTTGGGGGGGAGAGATGGGGAGTTCTGACCCAGTGCTAAATTCCTTCAAAGCTATGATATTAACATGAGTGACTTTATCCACTTTGAAATATGGAGGGGATGTACTTCTTTATTGTAATACAACATGCTGGACATAAGACTATGAAGAATCCTAACAGCTAGCTGCAGCATTTCACAACACTGTTGCCCCAGCTTAGGTATTTGGGAGGCAAGGATCATGGATTGCAGCACAGAAATAGTTTGCAAAGCTCTGGATGATTCTTCTTTTGTACTTTTTTTCAAAAGGCAGAGAAGGTGAAAAGCATGCCCATAGAGGAACGAAAGGCCAAAGCTGCAGCAGTCAGTACAAGCAGGCTGCTAACTCAAGAAGAATTCCACAAAATACGTCTTGCCCAGCTTTCTAAAGAACTTAATTCTGCACCTGGCAAAGCTGCGAAGAGGAAAAATATTGAAATAGACGATGAAGAGGAGGAGAGCAGGTAGGGTATGGACTATTGAGGAGTGCTTTCTCTTCCCTCTAGCGTGGTGATACAGCTTTTAGGTGCAGCAGGGCACAGAGCTCTGCTGTGGGTCAGTACCGCCCGCTGACAGGTGGCAAACAGCCACACAGCCTGGAGTGGATCCTGGCCTGGGGGCATTTGTTTATACCTGGGAGAAAAGACAAGAGGGGCTGATGGAAACTGTTTTGCTTGTTCAGGCCAATGGGTGGGTGGGTGGCGGGGCGTTGTAGCAGTAGTTGCATGGTTATATCTCCAGAGTTTCTTAGCTTCCGTGGATAAAGCAGGACTTGAAAAACAGTAGTGAGAGGCTTTTGCAAGGGTTGTCCCAAGCATGGGGATTAGCCTGGGAGAGAGAACAAGAAGTGCTTGTGTGAAAGTTTATAGGAAGGCAATGGAGTAAGAGATGGGTGAGACACACAGGGTCAAGAGGGCATCTTGTTTTTCTTGCCAGATGAAGTTCTGTGTGTGATGGCCTTTTGTTGGATTTTTGTGTGTGTAGGGGAGAGTTGCTTTCACTCAGAGATATTGAACATCTGCATAAGAAGCCTAAATCGGACAAGGAGACCAGACTGGCAACTGCAATGGTGAGGAGCTGGGCGTTTCATGTTCGCTGTCGTTCTAGATTTGGGTTTGTGTGTTTGTCCCCTGCAGAAGGAGGAGGTGGTGGGGTTGCATCTGTAAGACAGGTGCCCAGCTGAGAAAAGTTTTGCTTTGGAGAAATGTATTTTTGCTGTTGCAAATAAACAGCCTCTTGCTGGTCACAGGTGGCACTGAAAATACAGACACACCCGATTTCCACTGTGACTTAAGAAACAGAGCCAGTATGGGAGAATGCATGTAACATACATACAGTCGTACTGAACCTGGATTTATTGTCACTGTAGAATGTGTCACCTTAGAAGCTGATGTTAACTGTAGGGGAAGGAAAATGACCCCCTGTTACTATATTACATTGTCTGTTACAGGCTGGAAAAACAGATAGGAAAGAATTTGTGAAAAAGAAAACAAGAATTAACCCATTTGCCAGCTCTTCCAACAAAGAAAAGAAAAAGCACAAGAACTTCATGATGATGAGATATAGCCATAGTGTTCGGACGAAAAATAAGAGGTCTTTCAGGGAAAAACAGGTAATATTTAATGTTGAAAATAGATGGGCCACTGTGAGCTTATAATGTGGATGAAGCATTGTCCGTCATGTGGTCTAAGTCCTTGCAGTTTACCTTAATGGTTTAATTGCTGGAAAGGACTGTGGGCTAGGTGGCTTCCCTTGAATTCTGCCCCAGAGGAGGTATGTCAGAGACTGTGGTGGTGAAGAATGCGTTTGTCAGCCTTTTCTCTTCAATATGCATTGAGGACCATGTTCTGTTGCAAAGTCATGTGTAGGTTAGGAAGACAGTGATAATGTGGTTTGTTTTCCTTTCTGTAAACTGAAGCAGATCGTATTAGAACTCTGACTATAATCCTGTGATAGAAGAAATGATTCCCTGATATGGAGTTGTTTTTCAGGACAAGTTTTTAATGTGTTTTTTCACTCTCCATGTCCTTTCTTTGACCTTCTCCTGTTACTGTCATATTATGGAGTCATCTGTCCTGGCCTTCAGGTCACCTAATAGCTTGTCACACAGATACTTAAAACACAGACATAAATGCTATTTATTGCCTATTTGAAACTGCTGAGAAAAAAAATCTGTCGCTGCAGTTTAGCCTGGCACCGTAGTTTTGCTATACGCTGCTCTCCGTAGCGAAGCCCTTGCCCTCTGCTGCTTCCTCAGCTATAAGCTTGGCCACAGCCCTAGTGAAAGAGTTTACGAGCTACTAACATGTCTGTGGCAGTCCTGTTGCTGTGTGTTCCTGCAGGCACCTGCGCTGAGGGTAGCTGAAGGGCTATCTGAAAGGCAAGGCAGAGACCTCAGGGGGATGGTTTTGCTCCTGAAGATGTTGGGCAGGGAGCCCACGCAGCTCCCCCAGGTGACTGGCATTAGGTGAGCTGGCAAGAGTAGGGTGTGGACAGGGAGCCCCCAGCTCCTGGGATGTGCCTTAGCTGGGATAAAGCCTCAGCTGTGTGTGGCAGCTGTTGCCAGAGAATTGGTGTAGGCGTACTGCCTTGCCCTGCTGTGTTTCACCTTGGCAGGGTAAGTCTCTGCTAACAACAAAAATCTGCCTTAAAATCCTTTTATCTAACCTGGCAGATGGCCAGCTGAGGGTTTTACAGGGTGTTATAAAATTTAACTCCTTTGAACATGTTCCAAGAAAAACTTCTAGAATAATCCAATTATGCAGGGATCTTGTTTCTGTGTGGTGTTAACTTTCATGTTTTCTTGCCTAGGTTCTGTCTTGTGCCACAGTGCATTCTGAGAGTTCTTTTACAAACCCTCCTTTGTGAGTTGTTTCCAGGATCCATATCGTTAGGATAATGTATATTCGTCTGCAGTTTGCTGCCTTAAGAGCAGCAAGACTGAAACTGTTCACAGACTCAATAGAGAGAAGGTGTCTTAAGTGTTTCTGTTAAACAGGAAGCCTTGGGACTAGTATTCTTTGTAGTCTTTTTTTTTTTTCTTTTGCTGTCATTTTGCCTCCCTCCAAATAAGGCTGACTACATTAACCCGGCTTTCAGAACACACACAAAGTTGCAAATAAACAATGCAGGCATTTTTAGGAAACTTCTGTTTACAATGATGCTTATACTTGGCTCACTTTTTAGAAAAAGCCATCTCAGAATGGTTTCAGTCCTTACTCCTGATTAACATTTTGAGTTTAAATGTAACAGCTAAACAGTGAAAGAATCATTTTTTTTCATCCTTTTACTAAAGTTAAGCCACAGCATCAGTTCTGTTGACCCTGATTTGGAAATAATTGTTTAAAGTGGGTTGGAGTACTGTTGTTGTAGAATACCGTGTTCTGCTGCCCTCTTTGGTAGAAGAAAATAGACTGTTGACTGTAGTCCAGAGTGAGATTCCCTTACTGACTAAAACATGTCTGAAATACACACCAAAATCTCTTTAGAGTGATAGGGCACTTGTAAAAATTCTACCATCTCTCCTTCCCTCTCTTGAAAAGAAGCTTTATAATACTCTCTCAAAAAATGCCATTTAATCCTACTTACCTCTCAGCTGGACTGAAGTTTTTTCTTGATCTCTTCTAATTGACTAGGAGTCAGTGGAAGAACAGATTATGTTACTCTAATCTTTTTCATGATACAGGATTTGCTAATGGTGTACTGAAACCTTTCCATTTGTTTTTTGGAAGTCCCAACTCTTTCTTTAACTGTACTATCAAGTTTAGCTAAATAACCATGGGGTTTCTGTCACTGTAGTTGTTAACAATTGCCAGTTACTGCTCCCAGTTTTAGCTGATAAGGTACTAGTGTTTTTCTCTGAGATTGAAGAAATTGAATAGGGTTGTTGATGTGATAGTGTTGTCTCCTTACTTAATATTCACCTATCCTGAATTCTCTCCACTCCTGTTTCATATTTAGCTGGCTCTTCGAGATGCACTTCTGAAAAAGAGAAAACGGCTGCTGAAATAACAAAACAGTAATGGAGAGGAGTACTTCATCACCCATGAAGACATAGCCCTAGAAATGCTGGTTTCTGCCCCCTGCCACTCCAAAGGAAAAAAGGGACTAAAATGCCTTACAGATCAGAATTACAAATTGAATGCTTCCAAGCTCAAGCTGTTGGATGTAGCAACTATGGGACAGATGGAAGAAGCCTTAATCCTGGCAGGATTCTGGTTTTTTTTTTTTTTTTTTTTAAAGTATTCTGGGGAAGAAGGCAATTAGCTTTTATTGAATATAACTTACAGCTGGTTTTGTATGTGAAAGTATTAAAACATACAACCTTATTGTAAAAAATATTTTACTTGAAGCAATTAATGAATAGATAATTGGAAAGAAAGAGTATTCTGGCTCAGCCTATGAAATGTGTATATAATTTCTGTGCCTGTCTTACGGATGTGATTTAATAGACAAAGCCATTTTGTAAGTGGCTGGTTTTTACCTGTTCAATAATAATAAAAAAACCAAATCCTTGTAATACAGGTAAGTTCAAGTGAACAGGTAAGGGGAAGAACAGTTTCATTATGCTTTATGAGAAGAAGACTAAAATTGGTATATGGGAGCTGGTTTTCATGTAGCCGTTTAAGTAGAAAGTTAGCTTTACATGCAGGAGAACTAAGGAATCTTATTTTCCTGTATTGGTGCATCTTGTGGCGGGACTTGCTGGTGTCTGATTTTTTTTAAGTATACACGAGAATAACATGAACCTGTAGATTCTTTGTGAAAGGTTGGACTGTTGCTTCATTCTTGATCTCTGCTGGGACCATTAATGGGTTCTTTGTACCTTCCCCAGCCACCTGTTTTAATGAAAAGGTAAGGGAGTTATACTGCCCTGTCTCAAATTCTGTTTGAAATGGCTTTCCTTGCGGGGTGGAAACAGATGCCATGTGCATAGTATAATGGAAAAGGGTTTGGTGGGGTAGTCATTTCCTTTCTTAGGAAATCAGGTTAATGTTCATATCCCACAGGGGAATTCATTCAACTTAGATATGTTTATGTTGAATACAGAGTTTTATTGGCTTTAATTTCTATTATTTGTCTTGTTCATGTATTGTTTTGTTGTCACATCTTGCTTCCTCAAACAACAAAACAACAAACTGATAGAGGCATCAGGGTGTCATAGGAGAGAAGAACAAAGTGAAAACTTTCTACAGCTCTGAGTGTTACATTCAGCTTCAAGGCTTCTGCTGTAGGAAAGCCCGGGATTGCTACCTGAGTGGGATAGCAGTGAGCTGGTGTGGTGGAGGAAGAGGAGCTGCCGGGGCTGAAGAGACCAGACTCGGGGCAGGACCTGGGCAGTACACTACTGCGCACTCAAATCCCGTTTCACATTTTCCTTTTTCTCCTTGAACTGAACCCAGCTTCCCTTCCTCTGCATGTGTCCAAAAACGAGTGGCTTCTGAGGGTGAAAGGGAGAGGAATCGATGTGTTTAGGCACGAGTCTTAAAGACACCAGTCTTCTCCCTTATCCCTCTTGTTTACAGCCTTTGCCTTGCGCTCCAGCTCTGCCCAGGCTGCCTCCTCTCCCCTAGTTTTAAAAATACAAAAGCACGGGCCTTTGCTCAACAATGTGACGAACCGAAGCGCAGACCAAACGAAGCGCCCAGGTTAACCGCTCGCTTCTCTCCGCTTTTCGCTTGTATTTTCCTCCTCCAAAGGGCGGGGTAGGTTCGGTGGCTGTCCGCCGGGGGGGAAGGGACGCGGCTTTCCCCGCGGGGCCGTTCCGCGGGTGGGGGCGGTCCCTGCCCGTGGGCCGGCCTTCCTCGGGCCCCACGGGGCGTGCTGCGGCCGGGGGCGCCCGGCGGCAGCGGCATGGCGCGGGGGTGCGGGCTGTGGGGGCTGCTGGCGCTGCTGTGCGGGGCGGGAGCGGGGCTCCCCCCGGCCCCGGGGCCCCCCCCGGCCCCGCCGCGCTGTAACGTGAGCCTGGACAGCCCCGCCGAGGAGCGCTGGCTGCCGGCGCTGCGCCGCTTCGATCCCGCCTTCCTGCGCGCCGCCGTCGCGCGGGTCATCGAGTGAGTGCGGGGCCCGGCGGCCGCCGCCCCTGGGGCCCGGGCGGGAAATGGCGGCGGCGGGGCCCGCGCTGCCTCCCGCGGCCGTGAGGCGAGGGCACGGCCTCCGCCACCCGCAGCCCCCGGCGTCCGCCGGAACGAGACGGGCAAAGCGATGCTGCGCGGCTGCTCGACTTGCCAGAACTCAAAAATTCCGTTTGTTTGTTTGGGTTGGTTTTTTTTTTTTTTTTTTTTTTTTTTGGAGTGTTAACGCGGTATTTCCTGTCATTATTATTAGGAACCTGTCAGAGGGCGGGCTGGGGAGAGCCCTGGTAGGCATAAAAAAAAAATATATATGTGTCACAAGTAGGAAGCCTGCGCTGTATGTTTTGCTCGCTGGTTGGGGGCCGGGAGGAGCCGGTGAGATGGGGCGAGTGGCGGGATGCAGGGACGGCCCGGACAGCACGGGAGAGGTTGCTGATGGGTGGGCAGCATCAACCGGGACAGGCTGATCAGGGAACTGGCGGGCTCCTTGGGCGTCTGCTGCTCGAGTGGAACTTGCAAACCTTGTTGTCTCTGTCTCCGCTAATGCCTTGAGTGTATTTTTCAGTGAAAGCGTGCCGAAATGGGTCCACGAAGTTATCCGGCCGATAGCAGCAGAGCTGGAGTTCTTTATGCCGCAACCCTTCGCGGGGGAAATTTTGGGACTGTGCAAAGCACTGGGAATAAGTCTTGGAGACGGAGTCCTGCTCAACTTTGCCTACGAATCCACCGCGTAAGTGTCTGGTACTTACCGAGTCTGGTGGGTGCGGATGTGAAGGTTCGTTTTAGCTCAGCATGGAGAACACACAGAAAGATGGGTGAAGACACGTGGCAGGTGATTTACACTGTTAATTCTCACGCTGTTTTGTACATTCAGCTGGAAGGTTTCATTCTTATTAGGTACTTTGAATCCTGAATTAGAGAGAAATGCAGAGCAGTATTTTTTATCTGTTAATAAAGGTGGTGTGTAGTTGTAATGTTTTTGTGTATTTATATCTGTATAGATGTATAAAAGTATGAAAATAATTTCTGCTAATAAGGAAGAGCCATCCATTCAAAGTATTTGGGTTCGTTTATCTTCAGAGATGACGTATTGTACTCTTCTGTCATTGAAACTGTCATATTTCAACAAAAAGGAAAATGGAAGAATTAGTTGCAATCAAATTATTTTAACTATTCATCTCAGATGAAGTTGCTTCCTAAACATTTGCTGAATGAACCTTCACAATGACTATAATGTAATTTTTTGATTTGCACAATGAAAAATCTGTTTAGCATTTTTATGACAGCAAACCAAACCCCACTGGAGAAAATACTCAGTTTCATTAACTGTTTTTTTTTTTTTTTTCCCTAGAAGCATGTGCAGGTAAATAATAAATGCTTGATGTCATCTGTGAGGATCCCAGAGGAATTTCTCCATATAGGCTTTAATAGAAAACAGGTGCATACGGTCACTTGTATGCATTTTGATTGTTCTTTCTCTTAATGTGTGGTATTTGGTTAAAGTGATTTTTTTTTTTTTTTTTTTTTTAATAGGGATTAATATTGCATAAGATAGTCATTTAAATGCTAGCTTTCTTAGTATTTCACAGAGGACACTTATTCTGAGCCCTGATAAGACCTGTGAAATTTTAAGTTTCTCAGCTCTAACCATACTAAAAAAAAAAAATGTCAACCAGGAACAAACTACTTGTCTGTAAAATTCTTTACAGTTTTGAAAGACAGTGCTATGCATCACTGAAATGAAAAACTCATAATAAATTTTTAATTCCTGGCTAATTCAATATACTTGATGAAAAAGCCTATTTCAACAGAACTGAAACTGTTATTAAAAAAGGAATTTCAGCACACTTCCTGTTCTATAGAAGAGTTTAGACTATTATTGAAATGACCGACACTTTACCAACAAGTCATGTTTTCAATTTGGAATGACTTTGTTTGAACTTTTTATCTAGTTGTGATTAAAAATATAAATGGGGTCCAAATTGAAATTTTTTAACATCTGACCTGATGTGGACAGGAGTGCGGCTTTTGACTTTCTGAGCCAGGTGGGACCTGCTAAGTTAAGTGTTGTGGAGTTTTGTATGTTAGACTCTGTGGGAAAGGGCTTCCCGTTATGGATATTGTGCATAAATTAGATAGAATGTTGTACTGATTTGTAGTTATGCAGAGCTTCAGTCAAATCATTCTGTTATGCAGAGCTTCAGTCAAACCATTCTGTCCCTTTTTTTTTTTGTCCCTTTTTTTTTTTTCCAATTTGAAATTAAAACCTGTAAATTTTATCAAAAAGTATGGAATGAGACTATTCTGTCAGGCTGGGAGGCATGTTAATGATACAATTCAAACTCCTATCTGTACGCTTACATTAGTAAAATACTTTGCAGAAGATAAACTCAATTATTCCTGAAATGTTGAGCTAGTTCGACTACAAGATTGAAAGCATTGCCATAGCTTTTTCTTAAATCATTCTTTCTCCTTTGTGCTTTTGAAGGTTCTGTACTAGTATTGTTGCTCAGGATGACAAAGGAAACATTTACCACGGTCGGAACCTGGATTACGATTTTGTCGATATATTAAGCAAGATTACAATTGATGTGCAGTTTATAAAGAGTGGGCAGGTAGGATCTGTGGTTGGTGTGGCTGAGTGGTATTCTGTAAAGGAACAGGGTACGGTCGTACAGCTGCGTAGGATTTCATGTAGGAATGGTGCTCCCACTGTAAATCTACGGGATTATTTGAGCACCGCAGTCACTCTCTAGGAGCATGGGGTGAATGCGGGTTTTCTTTGCTTTCTGGACATCCAGTTTGTGGTGGTAAACTGATACAAATAGAACAGTGTAATCTAGTATCTCAGGATCATGATTTGGAAGGAGATGCTGAGACAAGGAAGTGTCAAGATATTAGAAAAGAAGTAATAGAGAATATAAAAAAGAGATCAGTTTTGGCAGGGACCGATTCCAAGGCTTTTTTCTAAGGCCTTGTTAAGTTTTGTGATCAGTGTCTGTGTTTTAAATGAAAACTTCCAAAAATGAGCTAGTGGCTAGTGCAGTCGTCGTCAGCGTGATTTTTTTTTAATATTCATTAGTCTGGTTTGCAAATGGAGAACTTCTTGTTTGTTTCTTGCTTGGCTACTTGCTAACCTGAGCAAAACTCTTGTAGCAGTCGTGTAACAAATGAAGTGTGGTGAATTTTGGTCCTCAGAGACTTTTTATAAGTTAAATTGCAAGTTTTAGTGTACTTTAAGGCAAAGTCTTTCATAGCAAGTTCTGTATGAAAGTCACAGAAAAAAATACGGGATGCTGCTTGAGAACGTTGCCTATGTTTTAAGTAGTGTTCTGTTCCAGAATGCTAAAATATTGCATGTTTCCTGGTTTCAGATAGCATATCAAGGCACCACGTTTCTTGGTTACGTAGGCTTATGGACTGGACAAAGTCCACACAAGTTCACAATCTCCGGTGATGAACGAGGTAAAATAAATCTTGTCTTCCACACCTGACATTACGTACTCTATTTTAGTTGATTGTTGCCGCCTCTGGCTCTCCTCTCATATTCTCCTAGAGGGAAAAGGTTGCCAGGAAGGAGCTGAAATTGAATGGCTTCTCTGGCCCTCAGGGACTGAAAGCAGACATGCTGCCAGTTTTTGGCTGCTGCACAGGAGAGAGGTGTTTGTCAGTACAGTGACATATGAGCTTGAA